AATTATGACTGGAATTATGTCTGCGTATCATCTGACGCATTAGGTTCAGAATAATGCAGGTTTAAAATTGTTTAAGTCATACCTTGGCTAAGACATATAAAATTAGACAATGGGAATGGTTTGATAAAAAAAATGTTGTTTGGGTAGAGAGAGAAGTTCATCGATTACAAATGTGAATGTAAAATAGGCTGAGGAAATAACAAAAATAATTCATAAAAATAAGGGGATCGTTTTAAATCCCCTTTATCAATTTCTACGTATAAGCATATGTAAACGTATATGTATATGTATTAAGCATTCGTTGTGAGAGCAATTAATAATAGATTAAAATGGTAAATCTGGTTTATTAAGACATACGCTTTATTGTATGCGTAACACGAAAAATCTGTTAATTATTTAAGAAAATTCTTACGGTTGAGAAACACGAAATAAGACTGTTTGGCTTAAATCTAACTGCTGCTAGTTTGCTACTGTTTAGTTAGGAAATAATTGATAAATAATAAAAGGAGCTGCATATAAGGAAGATTTCGGTTAAAAGTAATTTTCACGTTTAGACCGGACTTATGATCCGGTTTGAAATATAATATGATAAATAGTAATCTTACCATTGCACGAGTAAGTGATATAAAACAGATAGAAATATCATTTACTTATTCCACAGTTATAGGCAACAAAAATGCACTGTTTAGAATTTCGATTGGACTCTTGGTTTTGAGCCATTAAATACATTTATAGTATTTATAAAGTTTTTTTAAAAATATTATTTAATTTTTGTAACAGTTAGCTCAGTGACTAGATCAAAAAGCTGCCCTTCTGCCTCTCTGTTAAAATAGTGCCAATCACCAAGAGTATTTAGCTTTTTAAATATCATAGCCCATTGGTGCAGAACCCATTTATCTAAAAAAAAGTCCTTCGGGAAAGGATATTTTGTATTTAACCCAAATAGTACTCAATTATAATTCTCAATTATCAATCAACCAAAAATCAAATAGATAAAAAAATTACAAAGAAACAATCCTTACCAGTAGGCACCGGTGTTATAATACTTGATGCGAAACTTTAATCAACATCATTATTTGCAAGTCGTTATTCGAGAGATTTCACGTTAACGGCCGACTCATAAAAGTGCATTAAATGTGAGGCTGTGATGAATTTATGCCGTAAATAACGACATTAAACTGGTTTACGGCTTGGCTCGCTACAGTGTAGTGGAATACCTCTCACACTTGTACTGGCCTCGGGTGGGGAGGGAAATGGGTAATTCGGGGGGTGAAAGGGGTATTTTTGGAGGGATTTTAAAAATTCAAACTACATTACAATAATGAAAACTTTTTGTAGTGGCATTCATGGTGTGGAATTACTTAAGTGGACTTTTAGTAAAAGAATTTGTGTCACATGATGCTACTTGTAATAGCCTATGGGGAGCTGAATGGGTAATTCGTTAGATAAAAGGGTAATTTTTGGGGATTTTAAATCCAAGTTTTTTTAAGTTTGAATTTTGTTTGGTGGAATTTATCGTGTGAAATTACTAAACTGAACTTAAATCAAACACATTTGTGTAATCTTTATCCCACTTGTACTAGCCTATGAGGTGGTAAATGGGTAATTTGTTGGGTAAAAGGAGTAATTTTAGGGGATTTAAAAAATCCAAATGACATTACAGTTTCATAATTTTTAAGGTGGTATTTATAGTGTAAAATTACCAAACTGTACTTGAATTAAAATCATTTGTATCATCTTGATATGGGGTCGTAAATGGGCAATTCAGTGGGAAAAGGGAAATTTTGGGGATTTAAAAAATCCAAGGATATTACAATTTTGATTTTTTTGTGGCATTTGTGTGGAATTACTAAAGTATAAATTTTGTAAACGCATTTTTCGTCTTGAACATCACTAGCAGATAAATAAAAGGTAAATTAAAAGGGGACACAATCCAAGCCTTTTTCAATTTTACGGATCAAAGATGAAGCTTCAAAGGATGGTAGTGCATATTTGCAGATGAATTTGTGTTATCAGTGTAATTTCTACCTGTTAAATTCTAATTTGTGGAAAACACTTAAAAACTTATATACAATGCGGTACAAATAGAACAATTATGTGTGTATAAGTTCTTCTATTTAGAAAATAATTTAATCATTTACCTAATTCTACTTCCAAATCATGTACTATATTTTTTTTCTAGATTTTTCACATCTTTGAGTTTTCTAATATAGCATAGGTAGTTTGCGAAAAAATTAAAATACCTAATACACACAAACTAATAAATAATAAACAATTTCGAATCATATAACCCCAGGTACAATTAATTCGTATTTATATCAATAGTGTTAGGAAAATATCTCAACTTTTAAAACTAACTACTACACAGTTAAAGTCTTTTCAGAAACACATTTCAGAAGAAACGTACAAATCTTTTACAGAACAAGTGATAAACAACCAAAATGGCGCTGGGAAGTTGGGGGGAGGGGGGAGTTTAATATTTTACCTGTGCGAGGGCTGCTACAGAAATGAATATTTGTATGAATATATCGGCACGGTAAATCAATGTAATATTCATATTCTGAATACACAGCCGGCTGGTATCTCTGTATTACGTGTACATTTGGTACTTTAGGTGATTTAATGTTTAAACAGTGTATCTATCTGTAGATAAATATCTTCATACGCCGTAAGCCTTATTGGTAAATGTTAGTTGTTAGTTGTTAACTACTTTTGAACATATGAATGCAATGTTTCAAAGAATAATTGGAGTGTTTCGTCAAAACGTTTGTAACAAAATATTTGAGTAAATAGCTTACACGTTGATTATACTAGCTTTTTATTTATTGGTGGTGTTGTATCGACTAAGTTTGAAATGTATTTGTCTTAAAAAAAAAAAAAAAAAAAACTACCTGACTATAAATTCAACCTTGAATAATTTAAAACATATTTTGTTATATTTTCTGTCAGAATTTAATATATAATCTTGTGTTGTCTAATAAAACAAAATTAAATTGATATGTAAATCGTGTTAAAATCCCTTTATCAATTTCTATGCATAGGTAAGCATTCGTTGTGAAAGCAATAGTAGATTAAAATGGTAAATCTGGTTTATTAAGGTATACGCTATATTGTTTGCGTTACACGAAAAATCTTTTAATTTAATTCACTTCAGTTGCTAAATGAACTGGAAACGAAATAGAGCTAATTGTTCTTAATTAATTAGAAGATGACAAACCATGGCACCAAAAGGATATAAAAAACATGATTAGAATCGATCTATTGGAGGGATTGAACTGTATGAAGACAGGTTCTGTAAGATTAAACAATAAGTAATTTTGGGAATTATGATTGTTTAGCTTTCATCAATAGAATTTAAGCATCTACACAAATATACTTCTGGTAATGAAAAAATTGTATAGTAATTAAGTTTATCTTGTTTTTTTCAACCACCATCAAATAAAAATAATTCCATAATTTTGTAAAACATGTTTGCAAGGTTTATGACTCACAAACAATAAACATAGATAATGGAACGAGGAAAACGAACGAATTTACTATTTCCGCAGAAATATAACAAGGGTTAACGGGGGTTTAACACGGTTACCGAGACATATTTTATTTTCAGTTATTTTGTTCGTTGCCGTCACAAATAAAATGACAGTTCGACAGTTTATGGCTGACATCAAAACGACATAAAATCTGTTTGTTTATATCATTGTAAATATTCCCGAGTTATTGTAAAAGCAAATTAAATCTCTGTACGGTATTACTCGCAAAAATTCAACTTAGTGATTTCACTGAAAATAAAAATTGAATAGATTAATTCACAAATCTCAACATATAAGTACCGCTATTTAATTGTTAACGTTTGAAACTTTATCGAATTATTCCAGACAAATTTCGTATCAAGCGTAAATTATTTGTATGTAATTATCATATGAACATAGCTGACGATGTTTCCTCATTTAGCCTAGCAAAGGTATTTCTAGCATTTTTTAGTGAGCAAGTCAAACTTTAGAGCCCGAGGTCTTGGGTTCAAATCCTGCAAATCAACAATGGATTTTATTTGTGTGATAATGCCCCTCTAGGACTAGGATGAAGTAATTTTAATACTAGAACATGGCTAGAGCCATATACCAAAAGAATTAAATATAGACCGTGTCATCCGTGCTGCGGTACCATAGGTTCTGGCGCACACCGCTGGGAGCTCCGTATTGTGACGGCGTACGTGCTACATAACTACACGGCGCTCCCAGCGTAACCACGGCATGGCTGACAGTCTATTTTTAATTATGTTTGTCCATGCTAGAACCTAGCATCCAATCATGTGAAGGTGCAACATAAAAAAATACTTTTATCATATTAATATTAAATAACTATGCAAATTATAATTCAATTTCCTTACTCTATACAATTTTTTATATATAAAAAAACTAATCTACGTTGTCTTGCAGCAAACCCTGTTTATTTCCTATAAAGTATAAAGTTATTTTTCTATAAATAACTCGTTTAAAGTTATTTTGCTAAAAAAGTTTATTAGCTTCAAATATTAATAAGTATATAACAATTGTACAGATTATACATTTTTGCCAATCTAGGGAGAGGACCTTAATGCAAAAATAATATCAGAAGGAATTTTCAAATCTTCAAGCAATAGTGTAAGTGTTTTTTTTAGGAACGAGCCTGGGATTGTTTTTCACACTACTTCAGGCTATACCTAGGGTTTACTGAATTATCACTTTGATGATATCCTTTGGTGATTTGGCGGGATTTGAACCCGGGACCTCAGGGACTAAAATCTCGCATTCCGACACTAAACCAGCTTGCTCCCTTGGAAATAGTGTAAGTGTTTAGAAACTAAAATATGTATTTAGTACATAAAATCACTTATGAATCTCTTAACCAAACGAAATACTGTGTCTTCACACGAAATTATTAAGTTAGTTGAATGAAATTGTGAACATAACAGTTGTAAAAGTTTAGTATATTTTTTTTCAAATCTGAAAATTTTATTTTACCTGATCGGTCATCCCGTAACTGTTGTGAATTCCCTGTGACACAGAACACGACAGGTCCAAATTGTCATTCCTCTGAAAACAAAACAATATATAAATACTAAATATTTTCCATTTATTAAAACTAATAAATTTAACAATAACATACTGAAAGATTATTGAAAGTACGTAACTTTATGCATACACAGTCTTACTCTTTAATAATCTTACTTATGTTTGAATATTTGAGAGGGTTGGCAAACACAATTATGCTTATTATTATGAAAACATGACGTAAAATTATACCAGATATTTCTCCTACTGAAAGACTATATTTATTTATTAGTGATAAAAGGATTGTCCTCTTCGTTTTATTTTACATAAAATTATCAGTACGTTATTTAATTTTATTATACTAGGAGAACTTCTAGAATAGTTATGTTGCAACGGGGGTAAAGAGTTATTTATATATCATAAAGTGGAGAAAATTATGAACGAAATCAAATGACATATGAACATGCACCTAAACAGATATAAACAAAATTAGTGGTTTCGGTTTACAATTTTAAAATATACTTCCAATTGAAAATCTTTTACATTTATTTACAAAGGCTATCACGTGTAGCTTTTTCTTTGTGATATTGTTTTTTTCACAGTAGTACGTATATTTCTTTTTTTATTTTAAAAGTATATTATTTTTCCTCATAATACTGTAAGTACATTCAAAATACTAAGCATCAACAGTAGAAAGACGCAAAGAAGACAGCTTAAAACAGTTTAGATTGGTTATTAGGATCCGGGTTGGTCAATCCTTTAAACATTCTAAATAAAAAATAAAAGGAAAAAGCAAATAGAAAAAAATACACATACAAAAACTAATTCAACGGCCTTATACTGCGTACATTAATTTCAGAAAACAATCTTTCTGTAATTAACCCAAATGTAAACTGGTTGTTGTAAATTTAATTGCGTCACACCCCAAATATAATCAAATCCAGATTGGTGTTATCCCATATGGAAATACCAACGCCTAAGCACAGCTGATAAGAGGTAGAACAAACAGAGAAGCACCAAGATGTTTGTTTGTTTGGATGTTTGTAGTTTTCGACTATACAAACATTCTCAAGAGTTTGTTCCGGTGGTGTTCAAACATGTTTCATAATTAGTGGAATGTAGATTGAACTACATTGCAGGTAGTTTTAAGATTTAGTCCATTATTGTATTGTGTTTCGGGAGTAATATACACTTTTCATCACCCAAGACCTATATGTTTGTCACCTACATAAGGCACCTAATTTCGACTCATAATCGACCAAGTCACAGTACTATCATGGCATAAGCAACTCAAGTAGACTTCTCATCCCATTGTAAATTTTGAAGCTCGTTTTTTTTTATCTTCAGTTCATGTTGGTGACACTGATCGCTAGTGTCAACAAAATTTCTTTATATTATTTTACGGTTAATTTAATGATTTGTGCTTTACCGTTTGGTTATATAGCTAGGGAACGAGTAATTGGTTATGATTAGATCGTTATTAGGTTAAACGAGGTATGACTGAAATAACAAGAAACAAAAATTGTAATCAAAACACAACTTCTATACAGTGCACCGGACGGAACTAAAAATAACATTTCTTCAGCTGAATAGAAGGATTAGATATCTACTAAGGGAATATGCTTTATGTACCTATCATATTATCATAAAACTACATGGAATGCGTAATTCCTAAACAAAGAACAGTACTTATAAAATAGAAAATGAATCCAAACATAATTATGTACAATTTAAAACACATAATACACTTTTTCGTCCAATTTGCACTAAAATTTAATCATGTTGTTAAATTTATTATTTTCCAAGAATTATAATTAAATTAAAGTCGAGTTAATCCAAACCAATAGATAACTAATCTACTTAATTGATAATTTAATTAATACATTATTGTATTTGTGAACTCTGTTTAATTTAATACTCTACTCTTGTAAATGTTAACAAAACATGCCAACAACATAACACACACACACACACACATTTTTGTTATGTGGCAAAATATGCCATAGTAAACACTTGTATGTTAAATTGGTTGGATTTTACACATATTTATTTAAACAATAATGTCCACTATATATACTCTTAATTCCGTTATGTACATTATGTACGTTATGAAAATCAAGAATCTATATATTAATTACGTTAGCCGATTCTTTGCATCAAAATTGTGACCGACTGGGAAGTCGTAGAACGACGGGAGAGGGCTCAAATTAAAGGTCTCGACCCCGTGATGGCTGGAAAAATAACGAAATTCTCAAAATTGTAACTTAGATAAAACGTAAAATGTTCTCCATAAGAATAGCATTAGGAGCCATTTATTGCTGATTTTTGTTTACTTCAATCGACTGATCGTGATTTATCATTGAGCCAGAAATTTATGTATTTTTAAGTAAATTAGTTAAGCGTATGATAAGTAGTAAAATCATAGAAGGTGGCTAAAATCAATGGAATTGAACTTAGCCGAATTGAATATCAACATCCTATTTAACATAATTTAATGGCTGAAAAATTATTACGTTTTTTCCCATAATTCGAAGGTTATTGTTGTGTTTAAGGAAAGTTCAACATGAAATAACCACATTGACTAAACTAACATCCATTCACAAACATGTTTGCTGCCTTTAACAGAGTTAAACTATAAATAAATTGTTTTACCTTTGAACTATTTAGGGAATTGCCATTAGTATTTATTAAGTTCTTAAATGAATCATTTATAAATTAAATACTTGCCATTATTGCATCAAAGACATAATGATTCAAAACACAATATTTAATAACTTAACTAATTCTACTATTAAAGAAAATTAATATTAGAGGTAATGTTTAGGACACATGCCACTGGCAGGAGTACGAATTAAACTTTGTATAAACTTTAATGACAAAGCACTTAACGTCTAATACTCTTTCCTCGTCGTCCCGTTGTCATAGCAACGGTATTGGAATGTCCCCGGGAGGGTAAATATTATTTAAAATGTTGTCAGCCCTGGTTTCCTTCATTTAGTGGTTTAAGGTAACCCAATGGGGTTTATTGCTTTTGAGATTATGAGCGTTAAAAGGGCTGAACTCTTTTTTAGCATTTAGGTTGGTAGTATCACAGTAGACCATCCCATAGACAATAGAGAATAAATGGTGTATTCTCTGTGGTAGTATTATAAGTGAATTTATTAAATAAGTTGTTAGATTTAAGTAACTATTCAGTTTTGATTTATATGTTCGTGTACCTAAAAATTAGCGTATTCAATGGACAGTGATTTTATTTTCAATATAGTTCGTGATTGATAAGCAATTTAAATTGGTTTCAGTGGGATTAGGGATATTAAGACATATTCAGGAGAGAAAATTAGTGAAATAAATGGTGTTTATATCTAACATTTTACAAGTAAATGCAGAAAAACAATGACACAAGTTTTATAGGCTTGTGACCTTCAGATTTTAAAACATTCATGGAGTGATTTTTGTTTAAACACTAACAATAACAGAAAAGGCACTTTAAAGTTTCTTTATTGCAAACTTGCTCATAAAATCTTGAACCCAACACTTTTTCAAATTATCATTGATTTTAAGATTTGGGAGTAGTTTTTCACACCTCACTACAACCTTAACATTTAATCAGCTGTTCCTAGCAATAAAACACTTACAATAAGTCAAGATAACCAAAAAGTTAATAACCAATTCGCCCACTATTAAACACTACACATCGAAAAGCTATTACAGCAATTGCAACGATTCAATTAACTAACTGAGGGATCTGATAAACAGCTCCAACATGATAATAGTCGCGATAACCAATTTATTCGATAGTTGATTTTTGCCGACCATTTAACATGTAGAGATAAAACAAAACCAGTGGACTGATAAATAACATTAGTGGATAACACGATAGTTCCGGACCATTGGCACTTCCCTCCCTTTTCCCCTCATTTTCCCCCCAAAACCTCCCCTTGATCCCCCCTGATTGGCCGGCAATTGAGCCTTTAGTTGGGGTAGTTTGTCAATCGTTTGGTCTGTCCATAATTTTGTCGTTTGGAAAAGGCCGATTTTCGTGATTATTTTAAAATATTTTTATTATTTTCTAATAATTGATTTAAGGATCTTTTACGAGTAATGTGTTTGTTACAGAGGTGTATTTAGTGTAATTTTTCAGTTTATTATTTTAGAAATACATATCTGTAGGTCTATACACATTTAGAAATCCGTTGTCCAAATACTAGCCTAAAATTGTATAGAACGATTGGTTAAATAAAGCGTATTTTCCATGATTTGACTTTAAAAGCAAGGTTGAGGTAAGATTTAGCTAATCATAGTTACTTAAGCGAAAAATAGAAAATGTTTTTTCTAACATTATTGTAGTTTAATTGCAAAATAGAACATATATTTCATAAGAAGAGTAAAAAGTTATTCATTACATATTTGAGACCATGTTTGAAGTGCGAGATTTATCGAGCACTTAAAATGGTCGAGAATATGTATAGACCCACTTTCACTCGTGTTTTGAACGTTACTTTTCGATACACTACAAAGCCTAATTATTTTCTTAATTAATTCAAACTCATAACATATTTTAGGTTATGTCTTCTATTTAAAGTTAATATTTACTTTGGTTTTAGTAGGTGTGAAACATGTAACGAAAACAGGTTATTTCACAGAAGTGTAGCGAAAAATAAGTTTCGATTTATAAATATGTTTTGTGATTAGAAAAATCCGTTGAATACCTGTTGAATTTACCGAAAATAGGTGTAATAACCAGGTTATTAAATAAACGTAGATTTGAATTAATCTGTAGATTTTAATTAAGCTGGTCCTGTGGAAAGTAGGCCTATAAGTCAAAGCAAAAAAGGTCTATAATTAAGTTTTAGATTAGTTTGGCAACACTGTTTCTTTATGGATCTCCGTTAAAAATTCAAAATAAAATTTCTCTGAAATTCTACTTAATTCCAAATTATATTCAAATCAGGTTGAGTTCTATATAAACTTAATCACCTTTAAAGATAAATTCTCCTTCACTGCAATTAGTCACTGAACCACTAAAGGCAGTCAATAACGAC